CCCATCCATGCATGATACAATAAAATGATGGAGCTGCAGTGGATTTATTTGAAAATAGTAGTGTTGCTAGGCATGGTGGCTCCTGCCCACAATACCAGCAGTGTTGGAGGCTGAGATAGAAGGATCCCTTGAGGCCAGAAGGTCCACCAGCCTGGGCAACCCCGTGTCTACTTTTTTTTAGAATGTGTAGCTGGGTGTGGTGTTCTGCACCCTAATCCAAGCTACTTGAGAGGCTGAAGCAGGAGAGTTGCTTGAGCCTAGAAGTTTGAGACTGCAGTTAGCTATGATAGCAACATTACACTGGAGCCTGGGTGGCAGAGCGAGACCCCATCTCTAATAAAAATCAAATCAAATAACATAAGATAAAATACAATGTTGGTCTTTTGTTTCGGAATTATGCTTTTTAAATTTGTTGTTTTTGCTTTTTAATTTAAGAAATGACAATCATAGTTGGTTTATACAAGGCTTTCAGGAACTGGCTTCTGCCCAAATCTCCATCTGCAGCCTTTTCTCTGTCTGCCCTTTTATCTGGCATTACTGAGCTTCTGGTAATGCCTCCATCACCATCCCACTGATGCAGACAAATGCATACGCTCTGGGAGGCTTCTTGCCACTCTTGCCAGGCTCTCTTGCCACTGCCTGGCATTCTCTACCTTTCCTGCCCTCTGCCTCTTTTAATCTAGTGAACCTCACTCTCTAAGTCTCATCTCAGGCTCAGGCGTGATCTCTAGAAAAGCTATCTCCAACGGCCTTTATTTCCATTCTTTAAACCCCAGCGTTTACCACTCAGCAGGAACCCAATACATCTTTAGTAAAATAAAGGCTGTTTATGGAAAGATGATTGCTACAGTCTAGCGGCAAAGAGGATAGACATGTAAGGACATGACATGCTGTTCACAGGTGGTGGAGGGACACTAGAAAAATTGACAATGTACGAAGGGAGCCCCAAGGAAGGAGACACCTGTGTATGTGGACAAAGACAGNTCATATTACATAACATATCACTTAGAAGAATGTAGACATTGTCTTCTCTTTCTAATTGGTGTTCATTTGGGCTTCTAATAACTTAGCATTTGCCTACTCTTCAGGTAATCTTTAGAAACATAAATTCTCTGTGTGGGTTCACTGTCTATGGTATGCTGAGGTAAAAATCTTTTTTCTTTTTTTTTTGAGATGGAGTCCCGCTCATTATTTAATAAAATATGGTAAATTTTGACACGTGTATGATTTGATCATATAAGTAGCATAACTCCTCAGCCAAAAATTTAGCATTTGATTTTATAGTAGAGAGCTGAATTCTGTATGTTGTATTCTAAAGGAGATTTTACTTCTTTCAAAGTAAAAGCAATTGAACCCTCCCACCACACTCTGAGGCATCAAATTGCTTTGCCAAAGTCACACTTTTAATTTATCTCACTAACTTGATATATTTATCTGGTAATTTACATAATTTAAATTGTGTCTTTTCTTTTGGTGCCATGAAATGCTAGGTAATGCCACCTTAGGAGCCTTGGGTGAATTATTTAGTATTTCTTGGTTTTACTTCCATTATGAAGTAGATAATGGGGCTAGAGTAGACAACTATACTGTCTATCTCTGAGCTATAAACTTTTGTGGTAATTTAATGTGAAATTTGGGGAACATCTCATCTTCCAGGATTCTACAGTAGCAACTCAGCAGTTTCACTCCGCTCCTTGTGTGGCAAACTGTGGTTCCTCTATTTCAGTGGGCACCTTCACTTTTTTCATATCCAGGATCCAGATGAAAAACCAAAAGTAAAAGGCAGTGGGGAAACAAATAACTTAGTGCAGAAAAGGAAAAGCTTCTTTTCTGTTCCTGAAGCCCCACAAGGCCACATTCTCTCAATCCAGCTATTTCATGTAAAATCCAGGTGACAAAGACAGAAGACACATTTTGTGTTTGCGTCTTTTTG